TATATATATATATATATATATATATATATTGGTAAATATAACAAAACCCGTATGTCATCTCCAGCCATCATTTTATAATATAAAGTTATTATTGATATTATCATTAATAACTTCCCAAATACAGGTCCCATTAGTTGTTGTCAATAAGTAATTTTTTAATTAGATCATTTAAAATTTTATTAGAAAATTAAATATGTATGTTATTATTTGAAAAAAATTAAGTTGACAAATTGAGAACAATATGTAAATAAGAGAAATCAAAAATAAAATTCTTGATATTACATTTATTATTCAATAAAATAATCATTCTGTATAAATGCTATTAGTTTATTACCATTATGGATAATCATAAATACGACCGTTGAAGAGAAGACTAAAGAAAATAATTTCTGAAAAATCAAAAATTTTAATTAAAAATATTAAATGTTCAATTGTATACTTATAATAAGTAAAGTATTCTACTAACCATTACGATTTGTTGAAGGAATAAATGTGTAGTATAAAATGCAACAAATATCTTTAGGAGAATGTATTTAACTGAGTCAAAGGGCTTTTATAGTTATTTTATATTGACTAGAATAAATATTTTATTCAGTTGTAATAAATCATTTCTAAAATTGCACGACAATATGTTGTTCAATATAAATAATTCAATGGATACTTAAATTTATTACGAATAATAAATATTTATAATCTAAATAAAATTTAATGATAGTGACTTTTTTAAACTTGTTTTCACACAAGCCATTCAATTTCTCTTAAGTCATCACCGCTAAATCACGGCGAGTATACGACCCAAGTAAGCGACTGGTTTTAGACAGTTGGACTTAACTTGCTAGACGTTGGGATATCGTGTAATAAAATCCATTAGGTCACCACATTGTCATAGTAATGTACATCATCCAATATACTATAGTAAATAAATCATATGTTGATGTAAAACTACAACAATTAATAGTTGAAAACGAGGCGGCTGTATTTGAACAGGTTTGCCATCGTTGGGGAAACCAAAGTCGTAAAATAAAAAAATATATATAAATTTGATTTGGGGTATTTTAACACACCTGTTATGTTACGAAACCTAAATAAAATGGAGCACCTATAAAATAATTTATAAAAAAAATCACATCGCGCGCTTAAGGCACTATCTACTAAGATAAATATAAAAAAATTTAGCTCATACCATGAAAAAATAGATTTATAAATGTTAAGTGCCCCAAAGGGCTACAGAAACAATAGGCAGGTCATGCCGGCGCCACAAAAATATGTGATTTACATTGAAATGTTAATGGTCACATGCGAAAAAACAAATAATAATAATAATAAAATAAAAATTGTTGCATGGCCCACAGTTGTAAGATAAAAAGTTGTTCAATATAAATAATTCATTGGATACTTAAAATGATTATTAATAATCAACATCTGTAACCTATATAAAATTTATTGCGTCTTTAAATTTGTGTTCGCATTTTTTCTACAAAACATAAAAATATTTTCTGTACACACGTATATAATTTATTTTTCATTATTCAATGTATAATTTAAGATCTGTGAACACGAAAACAATATTTAAAATTGTTTAAACTAATCGTAAATTTTAAATATACAGAGTGATCGATTATGGGAAAAGCCTCTTTTTTCAAAAAAAGGGGAAAAGTAGTAGTGTTCCCACACCATACAGATCGCTGATTTACCAGGTTTCTCTCCTCTGATTATAAAAAAACGTAATGCCTACAAACCGACGCTGGCAAACTGGTCGTGGGAACAATATTATTTCATAACGGAAACGAGCGGGCGAAAGGAGTATTGTCGCGTACACAAGTAAACAGTTATCGGACGTGGAGAAACGTTACACTGCTGTTGAACGCCAATGTTAGCGATCAAATGTGCCACAGACAAATTTAGGTCGTTTTCAGAATACACCCCTTTTGAATTATAATGGGACAACGGCGCGTTTTACACAAATCGAAGGGCATCAACAGTAAATTAACCGGGTGGGCGCATTACAATTAGGTAACCTAAATTTTACCACTACGCATACGTACCGGTCAAATGTGGCGCCGGACGTGCTATCACGCTACCCAATGGAGGGACCCACTGTCGACGAAGACGCCCTTGACGACAACATAACCAACCGCCAACACAGCCGTTCCATGCTCCGCCATTCTTGATAATATTTTGCACCATCGCCGAAACTAACAACGCGCTCTGTGAATGCCCGTTTAGGGGAATTCATTTAAAATTGATAATTCATTATATATATTTTAACATCTCTCTATCAAACACCTCATAAATTTGTACTAATAACATATCTTGTTCCTTGTTCACTCACCTATTTATTTTGTCTATGACGTACATATATCAAATTGGAACAATTATTATTAATTATAATTTGGCTACCTTCTTTACACTTCCTTTTCTACAAACCATTCAAACGTATTCATGTGCAGTCTCTGACTAATGCGTGTCCAGAACTGATTCAGGTAGTTCACTTCGTTAAATACATGAGCTGGTATTTACAGGTATTAGATTTAGAAGGAAAAGTTTGGGTCATAGATTTTATGAGTTGGTACATATTTGACCATCATAATTTCATTCAGGTCCATTATTAAAATCATTCTTAATCATATACGGTTGTAACTGCAACACTTTGGTTAAAGGAGGTAAATACTACACCTACCTGTAGATTTGTTGCTCATGTTAGGTTGATCACGCAACATCTAATTTTTCTCTTAATAATCAATATTTTCAATTTTTATAACTATTCACTACAATAATATTAAATTTATTTTTTCTAAAAACAGTATAAAAAGAGAACGTGACATTTTTCTTGTCAATATTTTCAATTAATTTTACGAACTATTTGTATTAAACTACATCGGGAAAAATAAACAAAAATTCATTTAGATTAGATGAACATATTAGAATAAAATCTAATTCAAATGAGATAAAAATATGAAATAAAAGTTATCCAGGTATAGGAAGTAATCAGTTATTAATGTTACAGATTTTATCTCGGATATAATTGAAAATATAAAAATATGTTTCGAGTAAAAAGTTTTTATTATAACTTAATAAATTCAATTATATCAAACTCTTTTTTTTTTTTAAATTTCCATAAGGTTATGTTCGAAAAATAATCGCCTAAAAAATGAATTTAAGTAGTTGTTGGTAATTAAATTGTGTAATAATAAAACCTTAATCTAAGCTTTTCTCGCAAGTGAATCCTTCTTTGTATGTGTACATAGTAGTAACAACTATGAATCAGCCTTAGAAATTATATACATTATTTAATGTATAAGTCTTTGTTTTCTAGGGTATGAGCATTATATATTTATGACAATATAGTTAATGTGAAATTATGTATATGAAAATTATGATAAAAGACGCATTTTTTATGTAAACATACATTCATTTATTTATTTATTTTTTAATGTTGGGAAAAATAGTTTTGCTCTAATGTTCAAATTATTTAAGTTAAATTCAATGTACAGAAACTTAATTTTTTAAAGACAAAATTATTAGGTATTTAAATAATAGTGTAATTTATTTTGATTATATTTTATAAAAATATATTTTTTACAAATATATTATTTGTATATTTATGTATTTTTTTTTTGATGATGATAATGTTTCTTTATTAGAAATCGTTAAGAACCTGCCACACAAAAATAACAATTCAATAATTCAAATTAACTTGCACTATAATGTTATTTTGTATTGAATTTTTAAATTTACATAGTAAAATCAATGGGTATATATTTAATATTTAATTTTAGCTTCGATGTGTAGTTGAGAAGAGTTATAAATTTATCACTACTCAACGTCTTGAACCGATTTTACTCAACGATAAGTCAAGAGATCTATGCATAAATAAATTGTTGAAATTTGTATAACATTTTATCTTTGTAGGTTGAACAATCGTAATTAAAAATCAAACATTAAAGGGAAATTTAGGTTTTTATTTTTAAATAACGAGTTTACTGATTTTTAATAGTCTAAAGACACGTGTTAATCTTTTCATACAAGTGTTAAATTTACTCAGCTTTTTTATATGTAGTACAACAATTTATAGAGCTAAAAAATTCGAATTTAAAATATTTGTATTCTAAGAACCATAAAAATCAAAATGATATGTTGATTTCATTGGTATTTTATGAGAAGAATGTTAACATAGTAAAATGTGTAATTGAATCATTTTTAATTAAAGTTTATGATCTATTACAAAAACTTTTCTTTGGAAACTTCATATTTTATAAATTTAGGTTAATGATTAATTTGGCGAAGTGTTTAATATTAATAATTACCTGATGTTCCCGGAATATCTATATAAAACATAAATCATATTTTGATAATTACTTAAGAAATAAAATCAAGGTTGTGTAAATTGGTCAATATATTAGAATATCTTTAAGTGTTCAAAAAAATAATATTATCTTTATCTTTTCTATAAAATCTATAAAAGGAGAACTTATATTTGTGAATTTCGTTGTCAAAATTTTTATACAATATCGTTAAAGCAGCGAAAACATTTATTTTTCGTATAAATTTTCTAAAAATTTAAACGGTTGGTACAGTGAATTAAATACTAAATCATGAATGTAAATCATCGAAGGTAAAACTCCACTAATTAACAATTTTAAAATATTTGTCAGTGAAGATTATGTACATGTGCCAAAGGAGAAACGACGAAAGTGGGATAAATAAGGCAGAAAAGGTATATTTGTTGGATACTTTGAACAGACGATTGGTTATCGTTAATGNTTTGGTATATTTTTAAGGTATATTTTTAAGGTATATTTTTGGTAGAAAAGGTATATATTTGTTGGATACTTTGAACAGACGATTGGTTATCGTTAATGCTATAATCACAAATAAGTATCCACTAGCAGACCGTATCAAAAAGTAGTGTTTAAAGAAGATGAAATTACGTAACAAGAAGTTTACTTAAATAGAAATGAATGAAAGAGTGTTTGAAAAAAAAGTGATATTGACGAAGAAAATTAAACAATAGAAAAAATAAAAAACAAATAAACAAAAATGATAAATAGATAAAATATAAAAATACCACTCAAATATAGAATATATTATTTGGAATATGATGATCCAGCAACGTATAAAGATGTTATGACAAAGGAAAGTTCGAAAAGTCGGAGAAAAGCTATGGACGCAGAAATGTCAACATTGAAGGAAAATAATACGTGAAATTAGTTCATTAGTTTACCAGAGAACAAAAAATTAATTACTAACTGGTGGATTTACCGTTCAAAGTACCAGATGAATGTTAATGTCGACAAGTATGAAGCTAGACCTTGTAAAAGGTTGTGCACAAGTTTACTAGATTTATTTTCAATAGTTATTTAGCCCAGTTGCTGAGTATGATTAGGTACAACTTATATTAGCAATTGTGGCAGCAAAACAATTAAAGCTTAGACAATTAAACATAAAAATATCTTTTTAGTACGGAGATCTAGAAAACGAAGCATAAACGTCTCAAATAAAAAGATATAAATCTTTAATAATTTTCAATAAAAGGACTTAACACCTCAGGTCACAAACAGGAATAATTAAATTGAATTAATATTGTAAACATAAAATAAATATTATAAATTGTTATTTTAGAGGTAGTGTGAAATGATGATTAAAATTTAATGGAATCATTTATTTTATTGTTAAGTAAAACATTTATATTTCAAGTCGATATAATATTGTACCTAATTAAATTTTGTAATAAATAAAGCTTCTATATTATTAACTTTTACGTGTATCTTTGAAACATTCAACTAATTTGACGAAATTAAATTTTTTTTTTTATTTGTATACTTACTTGTTAATTCTCTAGCCATACAAACGGTACAATTTTGACCCCGTTGAATTTTATTAAAACAGGAATCACAAACTGAAAGTAGATTACATTTAGGACATGATTTTGACGCCTTGTTTTTATCACAATTCGTACATCGATCTTTAAATAAAATATATTAATTAATGCATTATAATGTGTAAGAATTACATTCAATAGAAAATTAAATTTTATGTTATGATTGAAATCTTATTCCTAGTTAAATTTTAAATAATACAAAGCTTAGATGCAAAACTAAGAAGGTATTATTTTTATCATGATGTGTATATATATATTTTTTTTTTTGTGTCTGTTACTACTTTTTCTCAGCTCTCACCGAACCGATTTCTTTCAACGATACGTCAAAAGATCACAAATCGTATCTAGTCGAAGAAATTACCCTCAAAAATTGTAAAAGTTTACCTCGTCTCTCGTAAATCCGGGAAATCTCCAAAAAAATTCTAGATTTTATATTTTATATTTATGACTTTATAATATAATGCTCTAACTTTTTGAAAATTATATGGATCAATATAATTTTTTCATGAAAAGTGCTATTTATATAAATCTTTCATTCGACATACTTTTTTTTTAAATCGGACCATTTTTCTATATATAAAGGGGGTTTAAAACTAAAAAATGCATATAGAAAGTAGAACTTTTTCAACTTAACTTCATCTTAAATTAAAGCTAATGTAATGTACTTTATTATAGAAAAAAAATTCGGACTTTATTTTGTCTTCACGGTGAAAACTAACATCAAAGTTAATAAAAAAAATAAGATTTTTATAAAAAAAATTCTTTTATATTTTTAACATTATAATGCTATTACTTTTTGAAAAATGTATGGATTAATACAATTTTTTCATTATAAATATTATTCATATACTTCTTTCATTCGACTAATTTTTTTTTTTTTATAAAACCATTTCCCTTTATATATTACACTTATAAATCATAAAAGTTGTAATTAGGATATAAATTAAGAAATAGGAGATCATGTAGCTTTTGAACTAATTTATCATTTTTTTTTTTAATTAAACACTATCTACAGATTTGCATCTAATCGTTTTTTATGATAGTGATATTAATCACTCTTAGATATCATGACACTTGACCCATCTATGCCACGTCCCAACTGAGTCGCGACCTCACAGTGCTGGGTTTTTTTATTTTTTAAGTGTATGAGTAATACATTTAACTTACTCGATGGGGTTTTACTCCTCGACATGAAATGATCTAGAAAAATATATATATGTAATAAAAATAATTAACTCGTTAAGTTTCAATTTACACATTTAGTTTTTATAAAATGTGAATAATTTTGTTACGCGTCATTACATTCTTAAAAAAAAATTATTTAAATTCTTTATACATATGTATTGATTTAATATAGAAAATAACTAGATATAATAATTGTCTATAAAAAAACAACTATACTATATTACTATTATTAATATAAATTGTGATTTTTTTGTAAATTAATTTTTAAAATGACATGCATTAGGACCACGATGTTTTACAAGTCTAAAAGCTATGGATGTGTTAATTATTAGCCTTATTATTATTTTGTTTTTTATTTATGCATCCTTAGACTATGTAAAATAACATTTGTATTTGTATTTAATAGTAAAAAATTTGAAAAATTGTATTTATAGCTGCGATGTGAAACATGGAAGGTTGATTTAATGATTTATACGTCCATGAATTTAATATTAATTTAGTTAAACATACCAGTATTAAAAATTGAAAGAAATTCCCACGATATTATAAATTAAAAAAAAAATCATAATCATAAGATTTCTTTGATTATTACAAATTGACTTTTAACGAAGAATGAGCTTTATTAAAGTATGATCTATTCAACAAGAATGTGAATTAAACGGCCTCATTTTTTTATTAAAATTTGGACAAGAGCAAATGACTAAATTTATACGCCCAAAGGACGCCCCAGCGTGTTAATTGCACAATATGTTCAAATATAAAGTTATAATAAACTTACAATAAAACAATTTGTACAACACATCCATAATTAATATTATAAATTTGATGCAGATATTAACAAGTAGAATACATACGTATAATCGTATTTTTATTGTATATTATACCCTATTTTTATATCTTAACTATGTTTCTACGTATCAATAGATGTACTCACTTGAACCTATAATTAAAACACAAAAATGTATTAATACTACGGTAATATTTATATAGAACAGGTCAAACTCAACATTTAAATGAAAACATTTATTTATTTATTTATAGACAAATATAATATAATTAAAATAACATATCACATTATAACAATGCAGATAATAATTTGAAATAATAATATCCTCATTATAAAAATATATACTGTATTATTAAAATATATAATAGATAAAATTTCAATATTATTATTGTTATGATATCAGAATGGTTGAATAATGAGATTATAATGTTCACGCTGTTACGAAAATATGAAATATGAAAATTTCATACTTTATATGAGGAAAAACGGACTTAATGGAGTTTAGAAAATAAGATATTTTAAATCCGAAATGCGGATTTAAAATTTTCCTTTACAAATCTAGATTTTAGGTGTGATTAATCAACAGTTAATATAGTGACTACTGGATTTAAGACAGTTGGAATAACAAAATAAATAAACTAAAGAAAAATGTCTCTAAATTATTATAATTTTGGAAGAAATCTAGTGGTTAGCGATAAATAAATTACTCTTTATTAATGATAGTATGAGTTTTATGAAGTTTATAAGTCTAATTTTGAAGTTCAAACTTTGGAATTAATCTTTAAATCCAGTTTCTTTGTAAATTCCGGTTTTTTATGCTGAAGTTCGAAACCTAAAATTAGAATTTTACAGATTTCAAGAAAATCCGGATTTATTATCTATCACTCTATGAAATAGATTGAAAAAAATTGAAAACAACATTTTTCCAAAAAGTTGTATACAAAACGTTAGCAAAATATTGTACATATAACCTTATCACAACTTTTTTTTTCTTTGGAATATTTAGTTTTCATAAAAATATATCTTTAGTTTAAGCATAACAAATTGATAATTTTAGTTGGATTATTCTTACTCACATAGACCTGCAAAAGAAAAAAAAAAGTGTTAAATAATAATAATATAGGAACTAAATTATCGTCAAAATATAGCACAAGTTTGACAGTTTGTTTGGTTAAAAAATTTGGTAGTCTATTGCTACGGACAATAGGATCTTTCTAGTATGATTCTGCTTTTTTTATTGCAAAGATCATAAACAAATTTTCACACCAAAAAATACGTTTATTTATTTAACATCAATTGTTTTTAAAATTGATTTCAAATAAATTTAAAATAATTACTACTTACAACACAATGGCTTGCTTTGAACTAGAAAAAAAANATGCAAATCTTTAGATAGTGTTTAATTTTAAAATAATTGGTGTATTATTCCAAAAGCTACATGATCTGCTGGTTCCTTATTAATATCTCGATTAAGATAAAGTATGTCGAATGAAAAAGGGTTTATTAAAAAATATTATTTCTCATAAAAATATTGTGTGGATCCATACACTTTTCAATAAGTTATAGCATTTAAGTTAAATATAATATAAAAAATTAAATCGAGAATTTTCACACGAATATAGCATTTAGAAGCCATTTTCACCGTGAAGACAAGTCCAGAGGTCAAATTTTTTTTTTAAATTAAAGTATATTACATTAGATTTAATTTTAAATATATATAAAAGTGTCAGACCTTTCGGAACATTTTCAAAAGTTAAGTTGAAAAAGTTNTTTAATTAAAGCATATTACATTAGATTTAATTTTAAATATATATAAAAGTGTCAGACCTTTCGGAACATTTTCAAAAGTTAAGTTGAAAAAGTTAATTTTTTGTGAAAAAGTTGTCATTTTAAATCCCCTCCTGTAGGCAGATTAAGGGTCAGCTTTACAAAAGAAATATACTAAATGATAAGTAAAGACATCAAGCATCTATATAAAAAAAATTATATTGATATGTTCGTTTTTGAAAATGTTACGGCTGTTTTTAGTAAAAAAAATTGAAAAAATTTCGAAAATTAGCGATTTTTAAATTTGTAATATTTTTGGAAGTTTCCCCCATTTACGGGGAACGAGGGAAATTTTTTCAATTTTTAAGGGTAATGTCTTCGACTAGATACGATTTGTGATCTTTTGATGTATCGTTGAAAGAAATCCGTTCGGTGAGAGCTGAGAAAAAGTGGTAACAGACCCCCCAAAAAAAAAAAAAAAAAAACACATCATAGTAAAACCAATACCTTCTCAGCTTCGCATCGAAGCTAAACAAAAACACATCATAGTAAAATTAATACCTTCTCAGCTTCGCATCGAAGCTAAAATTATCATAAAATTAGGAAGCCGATAAAAATAAGAAAAATCAGAATTTTTTCTGCATTATAAAAAAATATAGTTTAAAAAAACTATATTCATTTTTCACTTTTTAGTTTCATATGTTATGAAAGCGTGTTTTTTAGTTTTTTTGAAGTATATTTTCTTTATTATAAATAGTTCGGTATGTATGTTTTTGATTAAAATATTGTTAAGGACAATACAATTTTTAAACAACAACAGGTTATTTAAAAAACAAACAAACCGAAAATATGAACACAGTTAATAATAATCTTCGTATAATATCGCGGCACTTTCGCTGGCTTCGGTGACGCGGCGGTGTCCGGTATGATCCTATGGCGTCTACAAGTTAGCAGCATTGATGGAGACGGTCCTCGGGTGCGTATCGGTCGTGCGACACGTCCGGATCCGGTGGCGACATCATCGCCGTTGTCATTTTGCACCGTGGCGTATGGCACGCGGTATTGGTCAGTCAAACAAAAATACTCATAGTAGGACGACGGCTGATAATGGTGGCACGAGTGGTGGGGCTGTGTCACAATAAAAATTTGTTTATATACATATATTGTATATATATATATATATATATTACAATATTGATGACAAGCACGCGTGTACGGGTACGAAAACCAAAAATAAAATTATACAGAAATAGCGTTGTAGGCGTGTGGTGAGCGGGGTGGGGTGAAAGCGTTACGACAATCTAATCTCGACGCGAGAATAATAGCACTTGGCGCGTGGAGAGTTACATACATACGTACAGGTGAAACTAATATAAGCGTGTTAATGCCAATTATTGTTTATTAAAAACTCAGATTTGTGGGTTATAAAAAAAAATTGAGTTCAGGAACGGTTTAAATATGACCACTTATGTATGTCAAATTGTAACTCGTGAATTTACTCAATAAGTACTTTTCTTAAAAATGTTGTTGACCCATTCAAATAAAAAAAAAACTACTATTTACAAATTTTCAAAAATAAAATGTGTTATTATTATGAGTCAAAGAATAAATAAAATTATTTTAACTTTGTCTGAATGTGTGATTTTTATATGCGCATCTGGAAACTATTTATTTAACTAGCTAATTTATTATTAATAGTCTAATTAAGAACGTAATTAATCGATAACAACTTTTAGACCAGTATGATAGAAACCAACATGATAGATAAATTGAGAAATCGAAAGTAAAATTTTTAATATTACGTTTATTTTTTGATTAATTAATAATTTATTACCATTATTGATAACCATAAATACGATAATTGAAAAGAAGACTAATGAAAATAATTTCTGAAAAATAAAAATTTGAATTAAAAATATAAAATATTTAATTTTATATTTATAATTTGTAAAACATTCTACTTACCATTATGATTTGTTGAAAGATGAATAACTATAGTGAAGAATTCTACAAAGGCTTGTTATGAATATATTAAAGTATTCAGTTCTGTAAAACACCTTTTATAATTACTTTATATTGACTATAATCAATACTTTATTCATTTCAATTATAATAAATCATTTCTACAATTTGAAACGTTTCTACGTTTGATCTCTTTTAAATTTGTTTTTTACTAACTTTACGAAAATACAACGCAAATTGTTCAAATAATCGATTTGTTATGTTTTATTTAAAAAAAAAGATGAATATATATATATATTAAACAGCTAACTATCATATCAGTCTTACTTTAGGAACTATTTAATTTAAGGTGAAAGTAAAAGTATAACCCTTTGTATCACGGTTGGTAACGAGTAGTTACGAATACCGTTGCAAAAGATTAAGGGGATTTTTGCAAAAAGACAGTTATCTTGATCGCGGTTGATAACACGGAGGTTATGATCACCGTTGAAGATGAACTGTATTATGTAAGTGGTGGAATCTAACCCTTTGGATCATGGTTGGTAAAGCGTTATTACGAGCACCGTTGCAAAGGATTAAAAAGGAATATTTAGGAATAGCTAGTAATCTTGATCACGGTTGATAACACGATGGTTATGATCACCGTTGAAGATTGAACTAACTTTTAAAGAAAAGAATTTTAAATTTATAATTTTGATCACGGTTGGTAACGAGTAGTTACGAACACCTTTGAAAATTTTATATAATAAATATTAAGATGTAAGGAAAATTAAAGAAACTTACTGAATGGATCGGTGAATGGCTGAAAACTAGCAGGCAATTAATAATGCACACACTAGTAAAATTTTAACGCGGTTATTAAGTATCATAAAGAAAAAACTAGTAGAAGAAATATTAGAATTAATAGAATAATTGTACAAGTAGTGACGGTGTACTTTATACTACCCGTCACCACCTGAGTAGTATAGAACGATCGTCCACTGATAATTTATTTTTTAATACCCTCCAATGAATAAATGCGTATTCTAATTTCCTATTTCATTTTCGAGTTCCTGTTAAGACTGCTATGTAACATAAAATAATTTACCAACATTATAATAAATATAATAAAAAAATAAAAAAATACATTAATTTATATTCTTTTGAATAAAAGTTGTCAAACAGTGCTGTCCAGCGGACTTTCTTGCAACTGACAAAGAGTACTAAAGCTGTAGCGTAACGCTACAAATTGTATGGCAAAAAGTTGTGTAACATATATAATTCAATGGATTAAAATTATTCCTAAAAACCTTTATAAAATTTAATGCGTCTTTTATTCTTTTGTTTTTTTTTTGTTCGATAACTGTTTGAGTTTTTAAATTTTTTAAAAATTTAGATTTATAGTAGAAATTTATTTTTAAATTGGGTTTTTAATTTACCGGAAATAACAATAATTTATTACAAGGAGCCCTAAATTATTATAAGTATTTATTCTTGATATCGTAACTCACAGATATGAAAACAAGAATTGTCAATAAAATCTTGTTAAAGTGACATGATTAAGAAATTTAGATATCGCCAAGAATAGAAAAAATCGCAAAATTTAACAAGCTTTAACAGAATAACGATTCGCCGAATAAAATATATTATAAGAACAATTTTTTTTGAAATGTTTTTTCTATTATATCATTAAACTAAAAATAAACGTTCTCATTAATAAAAATTTAAGTTTAGATTTTTAACCCAGTAGAGCTGCAAAAATATTTAAACAACAATACATTTTTTTGTACAGTTTTTGTAATCACAGAATTTTTTCTTTAATAAAATAAAAAATTTTCTGTACTTTTTAAGAAAATGAGTGTCTTAACATTTATTGATCACTCTGTACATCAAGGACTGAATTCATTTTATTTTTTTGCTGTTTAGGTTTTGATTAGAACTACCTATTATGCACAAAACCAAGTAAAAAACTATCATTTGCGTTTCAACAATTTAATAGTATAATGTTGACAAACATCATACTATTTCAAAGTATTTTAGTTCAAAAACAACGTATTTTTAACAATCTCTTTTTTTATTTAATTTATCACACAATAAGCGTTATTTTATATGAAAATCAAGTTTAAGTTAAATATATATTTTTATCTAATTATACAGAGTGATTTTTTTATCATAACTCACTCAATTACTTACAGAATAAAAATAATTTAAAAATTGAAATTATTATGATAATTCAGTGTAAATTTTCAAGAACGAAAAAAAGGGATAGTATACAGTGTTTGTGATATGTGATTTAACGAATTAAAACCAAACCCAAAAATACATTATACAAAAAATGATGAATTTAAAATATCTAAGCGTTGTATCGCAATAATGTCTTAATAATATACTTATACACCTTTTGACGAAACCGTCCGTATAATTTAAGTTTAATTTTTACACGTTTGTGTAAACATTTATTATAAACCTTATAATTATTATTATTATTATGAAATAAATATATTATATACAAATAACAACAATTTGTTTTTTCATTTTAAATTATAAGTTTATCAAATTTATAGGAAACTAGTACAATATTAAAGTTATTGTTCATAAATTATTAATGTAAGTTAATTTTCTGACGTGAATGGGTTTCGGCCATTTTGACGCCTACGGACTATATTTAAATTCTTGGGTAAACATTGTTGTATTGAAAAATGTTGGACCATCATTTTCGTCACAAATTTCTTCTTCTTTTTTCTAAAACATAATTATAAGTTTAATATCCATAAAGGTTATGACAATTTATGTTCATTAAACTCACATTAATTTAAAGCGTACCCTCGGACTTAGACTTAGCCCATCGATCGATTATTTCGTTGCATGCTAAATTCTTCAGTTCGCTTATGTAATTACTGTCACCTTTAAGAAAAAATGTCGCATATTTCTTTGTCATTCAAACTTCTTATAAAGTTAACCATTTCATCATTATTTGAACTTTGAATATTGGGACCTGACCATTTACCATGGACATTTTGTATAATGCGGTCTATTTGCTGGCATAATTGTAAACGTGTTTTTGTTTCTCTTGATATTGCACTGTTCATAGTGCACTGTATGTCCATAAGTCTATTAATGTTTTCGTTATTCAATAACACTCAACACCTATCCACCATCCTGGATTCTAATACTAAATGCATGGTATCACGGTACAATACTTTTGATATATTAAAATCAACATTTTGGTATAACACAATGTTCTCTCCTTTTATCAGAAGTGATTGTAAAAATAATATTATTTCATCCATCATGTCATAAATAATATTTAAAAAGTCTGTTGACATACTAATAGTTCGTGAGGGAGTAATAATGCATACCGTAACATTGAAGTCCCCTTTTTGATTCAGGCCCACTTGCAAAACTTTTCATTTAGTAAAATTAAAATTAAGTTGTTAAGATAGTAGATACGCTTTTTAATTTAAAAATTTATAATTGGTTGACTTTTTAACTTAATTGTATCCATAACTGTATATTATAATATTTGTATATTCACATAACAAGAACACTAAATTATTTCAGTTAAGATAAATTTATATTAAATTTGAATTTCTTAAATGAAATGTTACAAAGAAAAATAAGATTAAAATAAAATAACAAAACAACAATTAAACATAGAAAAAGTAAAAAAATGTTTGGTGGTATACAAATAAAAATTTCAATTTATAGTGAATATTAAAAAATTGATATAAAATACAAAAATAAAATTTCATTCATAAAAATATTAACAGAATAGCTCGCCAGCAATAATTTCATTTTTGTGTCTTAATCTTATAAAAGGCATAAAATTTGCATTTATTGGTGTTGTATCTCCTCGAGACATTTTTTCTGCCAGCTCAACAGTAAATGGCCCACAATCATGTCCATTGGTTTGGCGAGATGTCTCGCCTATTTGTAATGTCCATGTAGAAGCTTTTCCTTTTTTGTCCATCTCCCATTCAATTAAGAAATTTTTTAATACCATTGGATAAGGACCCTTATACGACTTAAGACTATCATATGATGTCACAGTCTTTTCAGGTATATTAACCACTGTCAATATCCAATGACTCTCATATACATTCATGGGCACAAAAAGTAATTTTATTGTGTGAATATCTTTTTTTATCCATCTTCTTACAGCTGGATAACCTCCTCGAAGATACGCTACAATAAAATCAGTGACAACTGCATAAACTTCACCTTCTGACCGTTTTACTATCATTTTAATGTACTCATTAATTGTGTCTGAAGTATACCATGATGTGGGCGATTTAAATGAAGGTGCATTATACTGATCAAGAGATTTTGTGTTCTGATCTTGCATTACTTCTGCAAGTGTAACCATATTTAAACATTTTTCATAAAATTAATAAAAGACTTTGTTGAACAGTTTACTATTATTTAGGTTTATTTAAGGTTTTGGAATATGAAATTAAACACGTATAATTACTTTTGTTTAAAACGTCCATGGACCCCCTTAATGACACGCCTCTGCAGAAGTTATATTAATTTAACTCGTATTATTATAATTAATTATGTTTAATAAATAATCTTTTTTTATTTAATTTTACATAAAATAAATAGATTATATAACTAATTACCTTTTTCTTTCTCTGGTACTTTTATTACTTCAATAGTGGACAGAGCAAGTAAATTTACGTCATTCGGCGTATTTAAGGTCAAAGGATTAGAACTAACTTTTGGCTCTAAAATAATTTATGTTTAAAAATATTACTTATTTGTTTCAAAAATCAAAACTTCATATTTTTTATAAATGAATTATATTTTAAAAGTTGTATACTTTTTATGATTTTTTCATCTTCTTCGGATGAATTTCTTTTTAAATTTGGTCGAGCAGTAGTATTAGAAGATATCTCAAAAAGTTGTTTTTTTATTTCGGATTTTTTGCGTTCCAAATTTTTCTTATGAAAACTCTTAACGGATCATAAAAATATATTTAATTATATGATAAATTTATTTAATAAATCTGCTTTAAGTCCAAAAAATGGTTTAGGGTATACCCTAAAATCTTTTTATTGAAATAAAGCATAATAAAATATACCTTTTCTAACAAATCAGCTGATATTAATAGCGGATTGTCTTTTGAAATTGCTATATTTTTTTTTTCTGTTGAATTTAAAATTTCATTTTTATATTTTTCAGATTTTTCATTCTGAAAAAGTGTTCCGAATTCTCTTTGCTGCATCATATTCTAGGTAACCAAAGAGATATTTAAATAAACAAATAAACTATACTTAATATTATATTATTATCTTCGATAAAAATTGAATTTCCCATAAAAATCTAATAGAAAAAATAGCAGAATAATATTAAACATTATGTTACCGCATTTATATTAAGGGGGTTGATAGTTTATTTTATATTTTTGAATCAGACAAACCCCAATAACATAGCTAAATCGAATAAATATATTAATATAATTATAGTTACCAATTTTTCTGGAATAATTTTATCATTTTTATTCGTTTTTCGATACGTGCGTTTTTTTGGAATAATGGAATTTTTTATAGGATAAATATTTTTATTAATAATTGCTGCAAATTGAATATAATTTTAATAATTATTAATTAAATAATCAATTTCGAAAAAGGTTTTTAATATTAAAATAGTTAAATTAAAGTAAAGCGACTGAATTATTGTTATATATGAATAAGAGAACTTATTATTAATTTTTCTTATATTTTATATTAAAAAACTTTTTCTCTATTCGAAATAGTTAGTTTAATTATTAATCTTAATAGTGTTTACAGATAATTCTTCCATCTTTAGTTGACTTTTTTGATATTTGTCCTTTATTTGTATTATTTAAAACACAATTGGAATGCATGAAACGACGATTCCATATTTCTTCAACTCTGCGTATGACCTTATGTAAGTTTGATTCATTTGTTTGACCAAAAATATTTTTTTCACTTGCCATATCAATAACTAATTAAATAAATCTTAATAATTACACAAGACGATAGTTTATTTTTCACGGGAAAAAACGAAGTGAACTGAAATGTCGATAAAATCAACATTTACATCTAATTGTCAAGGAAACTTAATTGTAAAAATTCATTAAAAAAATGTATAAGCCAATTATAAATAAATTTAGTATAAACAATACTTATTTATTTTAATTGTATTATTGGTCAAAGAATACAATATTTTAAGAATTTATTACAGAGAATTATCAAAATATATATTTTAAAGATATTTTGAAGAAAAACCTTTTGTATTTGTTTGTTTATTTATTACATTAGTTTACAAATGATAGAGATTTTTTTATGAAAGTTCAAGTGGAATAAATTTGATATCGGTTAACAGAATATTTATGCATATAAAATTTAATCTGTATGAAATAAAATATCAACGTTTGGATTTATTCTCTTGCAACTATTAAAAATTTTGCCCATGTGAAATTGCTATTTCCATTTAGTTATTAACAAAAAACATCATGCCATGCGATTATAATCAACATAAAAATTTATTAAGTTGAATATATAATATAGTTTAACAATTTAATTAATAATTGAATTAATGACATAATAATTCTGATAAAAGAAAATAACAGGAGATTTGAATTAATTTTAACGACTTTAACAAATCGAAAATAACTTTAGGGTTTAACTACCTTATAGGTTTAATTATTATTTGCATTTTTAATGTTATTATTATTATTTTTTTTTTTTTTTACAATAACGGATATCTTTGTAACTTCAATATATATCAATAAAATGACAAATTATCCAAGAAAATCAAGGAAATTTTAGAGAAATATTAAGATACAGAGCCCAAGGAGATGACCGTTTAAAATCATTTTTGGAAGCTGAAGAAACAATAAAATATACAAGTGAAACACTTCAAAATGAAATAATTGAATCCTGTAATAAAATTATTTTAAATAAAATCGTAACAAACATAAATGCCCAAAGATGTTTCAAAATACTTGCTGATGAAACGGCCGACATTGGTGGAAGCGAACAAGTAACTTTGTGTGTTCGATATTTAGATGTTGAAAATATGATTATCAAGGAAGAATTCTTCAGTTTGTGCCTACAACAGATACTACTGGAAAAGGTTTATATATTATTATTCAAAGTTTACATTCATTTGGTGTAAAAACAAAATAACTTAGAGGACATTGTTACGATGGATGTGCTTCTATGTCTGGTCAATTTAACGGAGCTCAATCTCTTATTCACCAAAGTCTTCCGCTTGCGTCGTTTATTCATTGTGCTGTTCATGTTTTAAACCTTGCTAATTCTTATTCATCTTCTATACAAGAAACACGAAATTGATTAGGAACACCATCTAAAGTTAGAGATTTTTTCATAAACCCAAAGCGAAAAGATGTGTTGAAAAGTCAAATCGAAGAAAGTCAAAAATGTATAACTAAAAAATCATTAAAACAATTATGTGCGACTAAATGAGTTGAACGTTTTTATGCTGTCAATGATTTTCTTGAGCTTTTTGTGTACCTAATTGAATCGTTATTTATAATTTCGAAGTGGAATGACACTGAAACATCATCAAAAGCAAGCAATTTACGAACATCAATACTGAAAGGAGATTTTATTATTTGTTTACTTATTATAAATAAAGTATTTAGTTATGAGTTACTTTGTTTAAAACAACTTCAAATAAATTAGCAGCTACACAACATTGTTATTATCAATGGTAGTAAGGCATATTGTTGTGAGTTTATAAATACACTAACTGACAATACAGAAAGTATATCTATGATAGTCATAATTGATAATAAACAATCCGTGACTGCGACATTGATATCATATAAACCATTTAGCTACCTGTATTTGTAATCATATCATCATGTGTATTATACATGTATATTAACTCAAAAATTTGAAACTNTTTATATTAACTAAAAAATTTGAAAGTTTAAATGTTTATACCTAATAAACTAATAAAGTTATATTAAAAATTCAAATGCCATTTACTATTTAATTAAAAATCCAAACATTTTATTATATTCAAAATATGTGTTCCCATTTAAAAGACAAAAAGACAAAGTTGACACCCTTACAAGGCATAAGGGATGAACATAAAAAGTTTTAAATAGTTAATAATTTAAGAATAATGTGTAACTAAAGAAAACCAAAAATAATGTTTAAATTATATTTATTCTACAAGTAAATGAGTGGGTTATGATAAAAAAATCAGTCTGTATACTGTAATATAGTTTATCATTTGTAAAGCTGGAAGTAAAACATTTTTGTAATGTTTTGTTTAATTGTAATTTCCTGATCTATTATTACTAGACCAGGAATTAAATATTTATAAACATTTTTGAAAACGATAGTATTATTAATTTTGCAAAAAGAAGAAAAACAAAATATTTTAGTATATAAGACGAAATGGAATGAATCGTAGAGGAGAGAGGACCTCAGGAGCACCGAAGGTAATCTCTTTTCGCGCGGTACGTTTATGACATCAAGTTTTCATTTTGTGTATTCTTTTATTGTGTATTTAGTGTATATTTATTTTGTATGTTTTGCATTGTTTAATTATATCTATAATAAATGCATTTGAGTTATTATTAAACTTTTATTACTTTAAGTTAAGACACTAGGGTTGTTTCTAGGGTTAAGATACAACAGTACCAAAATATCAAATTTAAAATTATTTGTCAATTCCTAAAATAGTAAGTTTTTTTTACGTCAGTAAACATTTCTATAATTTTCGTTTGTGAGGTTCATTAAAAGTTGGACACCACCCGAGAAATCATTCAAAATACGCCATTGGCACCATGGTATAAAACAACGTTATCTAAGAACGAGCAACATCGACCTTTCGGCATACCCCCCCTCTCCGGCCGTAAACACGGCCCGTCTACCTATGAAGAGGAAACAGCCTGGGCCGTTTTGGAAGGTATGGGAATCATATATTACACATCTTCTTACAACACTATCAATAATTCAATCGACATTAGTTTCATCCATAAATAATTTATGAGTCTACAACAGTTGTACAGTTACTGTACTGAATTAAGTATTATTTTGATATAAATTGTTTTTAAAAATTTCTTCTAATTTAGTAATTTAATTTAATTATTATAAATATTGAACAACATATTTTTTTTTAATTCTCATTATTTTCGAAAATATTAAACCGACCACGATGCTCAAATTTATGTTTTCCTTTTAAAATCCTATTGCGGTCAAGCAATATATGTATTGTTTTGCCCTGTAGGTTGGCGATACTCGTTTTCTTTTTTTTCTTTGTGACACCATATAAGTGACATGGTTATTATCCATTGATAATCAAACATTTAAAATCAAGGTATACTCTCTTACAAACATTAACCAAACTTATTTAAAGACAAAGTTTATATTCGATTAAGATTTCAAAAGCGGTCTCACAATATTTTATAAGTATTAATTACTTATTAAATACTCGCATCATCTCTGCGGCAATAGTTTTAGTTTTTTGGAGATCGCATCTTAATTAAAGAAGAAGTCCAGAATTGTGTTAAGTGTTTTCGTTTGAGATCAAAAACTGCTATTCAACACATGGTTTTATTACTTACAACACGCGTAAATCCGTCACCAGCGTTTACCATGTCTGATGTCAACTACATCGGCCCTTTCACTTAAGAGTCAGTGGAAAAGAAGTCGAACATTTAATAAAGCATACGTGGCATTATTTGTAAGTTGCGCCACACGCGCAGCGTACATAGAACTGGTGCCAGACTTAACGACAGAAGCGTTTCTGGCCGCGATTAGGCGCTTTATAGCAAGACATGGAAGGCCTGTTGGAGTGAACTCCGACAACGGGACAACATTCACTGGAGCTGATAATTTACTATGTGAATTTATATAATACTCACAAGTTACAATTGCTAAAACCGTCGCCCAAGAAGGTGTACAATGAAAGTTTAAAGTCAAATTTTATACTCGATTAAAGTTTCAAAAATGGTTATGACAATATTTTAAGTTTCTATAATTATATTTTCAACTTATAGTATAAAAAAATTCAATATATATATATATATGTATTTATATAGAATTAATTTACTAGATATAAGAAAAATGTCGATAGCCGAAATTATTGCCTAGTTCTGTCTATAATGACATAAATATTACCGTGTATAAGTGTAGGGTTTCTGTAATATAATTGCCTTTATTGTAATATACATTTAATTTTCGAAGCGGATCATTTTACTGAAATAAATTAACATTAATATGTTACCCTCAAATGGCGTGTATCGAATAGCATAACAAAGTATAATAATGTACACTAACATTTAATTTCAGGTTTGTTTTATATAACACAAATTTTATCATACATCACAATACTTTTTCATGCCACATAATATTGTACAAAAATCCAAGCTGAACTTTAACCTGTAACTTTTCTTTACTTACCTGTAATAATAATTATTCTATGGGTAATAGGAAGTTTTGGTAGGATTTAATGATCTAAATATAGTGCAACTTTTATTTTTTTATTAATTGAAATATTAAAATCTACTGAAATATATGACATATTATTCATTGAAAAGAATTGTTGAATCATCATAATCGTCCTTTGAAGTTCAACGTATTATAATCTTGATAAGTTATAAAGCAGAAGGCTTTTATAATCTGTACATTTGTCTGAACTCCTATTTTGAATTTTAATTTTGTGCATCTCCACTTTGCCGTCATTGAATGCTAAACCCTTTAAAAACAAAAATATATTAAAGTATATACTTTATTTTAATGCTTGTATGCTTATTAAAATTATTTTTATCGCGTAAGAAGCATTTCTTTTCACCAAAAAATCATTTTTCTATTCATATAGTGGATTTATTTAGACCACTACCCATCATTATTTCTTTAAATAATGATTATTTCATAAAATTGTACACATTTAAATTTGATTTATTTTAATGAACCATAGTAAATATCATGTTTATAATAAGAATAAATTATTTCTAAGGGTAGATATTATAATAACTTTTAAATGTTCAATGAAAACCTAAAATAATTTTTTTATTATTAGTTGGAAAACGGTCTATATAAAATGTAGACTGGTCAATAATCATATTTGTAATATTATTTTTTGAGATATAAGCAAATAAAGATTTAAAAAGTGAGGAGCGTGATTCTTCCCCGCTAGCCGATAACTAAAAATTTTATTATCTCAAAAAGTATAATACAAAACTGGTATAGACCAATTAAAATTTTATGTAGACCTATTTAATTAGTAAAATTAACTTTTAGAAATAATTATTCCTTACAAAAAACTTAATATTGACTATAGTTAATTAAAATATATCACAATTGAATATATATATATATATGTTTTTTTTGAAAAATTAACTAAAAAAGGGAGGCAGTAATCTTAATAATTCATATTGCATGTATAACTTTTTAGTACGTATACCAAACGGAGTGTACCCACCCGCTGTACATATCCACACTATGTTTTAAAACAATTGTAAATAATGAGTACTTATATTAAAATTGTTATTGGCGACCGAAGTTATGTCAAAAAAAAGAATAATAAATGTCTATTAAAAAAAAAAAATGTTATATTATTTATATTCTAATTAGGGATAAATAATAAAAGATATGACGAAGAAGTATTAGACGCAAATTACCAGACAAATAATTTCAAGTACTGAAATAAGCTTAATCTAAATAGTTTTTATTTTTTATAACATAATTAAAAACAAAACGGATAGAAATTTACCATGTATACAGATTTTTGTCCACATTCTGTGTTTAATAATGATAGGCCATTAATATTTCTACCTGGCAAGTTGATAGTGAATAAAGGTTCATTGCAATTTTCGTCACAGAGATCCCACATATGGACACTAATCAAATTAAATAGGATATATTACTATTTAAATATAATGTAGATTATTTTTGTGTCATTGAATTACTTAGAATTTGCATCTATTGCAAAAAAAATTCCAGGGTGTCCTTTGCACCAGCAAACTTTCACTATTGGAGTAGGACAAAGGTCGTCTGATGATCCCAAAAATTTAGCCAATGGTTCTTGATGTGTTATATTGTACAATAACACTTCATTAATTGAGCAAGCAACCTAAGTAAAGTATACAAAAGAAACTACTATACATTTTTTGGGTTTATATATTATATAAAATCTTTAGATACAGAACAAATATAATTAACTCAATTTAAACAAATGTAAATGTTCAACAGTGTAATTTACATGCATCAAATTTAAAAGTGTATAAGTTATAAAGTTATAAAATAGTAAAATTATACTTTTTTAAAAATTTACTTGTAAGCTGTTAATGTGCATTAAAAATGTGAAATATCGATTTGAGACACTTTTTATCATTAATTAATTAGTATTAAATAATATAATTAATTTTCATACCTTTTAATTTCGAGAAAAATTATAACAATAAAAAATATATTTTATTTTATGTGTTTGACTTAAAATTATTTTAGAAATCATTTAATATCATGTGATTACTTGTATAACAAATACGAGTATTATTAATGCAGTAATTTAAATTCTCAAAAAAAAAAAAAGGAAATAATAAATTATTATTTTTAGTGTGTACAAGTTCAAACCAATTGTTACTATGCTTTGGGGTTTTGACTAGAATTTTGGTTACTTAAATTAGTCTTTGACTCTATAATCTACCTTAATGATAATGGGTGATACATTAAGATAATTCTTATTGTGTTTACTAGTGAAAGTTAAACAATTGCAGTTTGTGTAGTTGGGTTCGATAACTAGTGTTACACGTTGTTAATTAAACATATAGAAATGTATTTATGGTAATTATTAAACTACTAATTTGTTAAGTAGTAATTAGATATATTTTACATGAAATGGATATTATCGCATAGGTAATTTACTATCACAAGTCTTAAAGAAACATTTTAAATAAAGAAAAAAAGAAAATGGAAAGTTAAGATTAAAAAATTTATAAAAATAATTTAAGTATATATTTGTTTTATAACCAAACTATTTAGTTTTGAAATTATATTGATTATTGAATAATAATCAAATAATTTATTTATTATAAATTATTTTCTATTAATGTTTTTACGAAGCCGATAAAAACTTACTAAAAAATATAATGGATCAAATGGACACATATCCAACCACTTGATTTCTGTACATTTCTCTAAAAACAGAACTTATATTACTTAAATTAAAAATTTAATTCTTTAATAAATTTAACTAAGAGCAAACTGTTATAAGTTATTTGGTAAAATTTAAATAATTTAAATGTGTAATATTTTCTATTGATGTATTTATAAACTTTTATTAAGAATTCATTGTACCTGTATTTCCTTGTGTATAAAATGATGGCCATACTTTATGTCCGCCAAGATTACAACGAAAAATTATTCCAGAATTAGTTCCAATTATTACATCCTGACTGTCACTTAAATACATTGATGTGGCAGTTTCGCAGCTCAAAATGGCCCTCAAGAGTTTTATTTATCATCTTATTATTTACTGGTCTTTTAGGAAACACTAAACTACACAAGTAATATTAACAAAAAAATAATTACTTAGGTATGTTATTTGAAACTAATATTGTTTGTAGTTTAATTAATCTAACGGAGCTCCATGGAGACGTCCCTGCGTATTTAATACGTGAAATTTCTGATTTGTCTGTCCAATCATCTATTATGGTCCACACGATTAAAACTAATTCTTCATCTAAACTGCATAACTGCAAATAAATATTATGTTTAATAATATTCACAAATGAATGAATATTACATTTAACACTACAATTATAATACATTACAATGAACACTTAACGAAAAACATATAACTTTTTATCAATTAAAATTACCAACATACAGTGAGTACCAGCATGGTATGGCAAATCCTATAATATTTAATCTATTGAACAACTTTTATTTTACTTTTAAGACACTTTTAGAGTATGGGACTATAATGGTATCATAAAATATACATACATTTATTTTATTTACTGAAATGTTAAAAAAAAAGTAAATTAAAATAACCATTATATAAAATAAATTAATAGTAAAATGTCTCCTAAATATTTCGTAGTTCAATTTTAAAAACATTTTGAAAATTAATAAAAATTAAAATATTTTCATGTTAATATATCAATGTTATGATAAATAATATCAAACTTATAATATTAAATAAAAATTTGTTGTTTTTAAACAGTACAAATTTTTAAGTACAATTATACTACACAAGTTATTTTTTGTTATATTCTAGCGTAATAGTTCCTTAATAATATGATTGAAGTATATATAAATCATAAACTCACAATAATATATGCATAATTTATGCATACAACTACAATTAAAGATAATAAACAGGATTTTATTATAAGTAATGAAACCAATGGATACGACTTCAATATTACAATACTTTTTACTTTAGTTATAATCAAGTGACGGAAAATCACAGAAAAAATGATATTATATACAAAATATATTCAGTAGAACATAAGTTATAGAATTTGTCGGAACAGTTTATGATATCCAGTAGTCTAAGAGCTACTATATTTAAAAAGGAATATTGGACGTATTAGATGGTCTTATAATGATAAAATCATCGTAGTATTACAATAAATACCAATGACGCAATTATAGGACCCAGCCCTTTGCGAGCCCTAAGAATATCAAAAGATTAAAATTAAGAGAAGTTCGGGAAACGTTAATAAGTTAGTTTAGGAGCAAAACTAAGTACAAAGTATTGTTACCAAACATCTTTTTAAAAGTAATAATATTGTAAAATTATTTCAAATTCTAAATTCTGTTCTTAGAGTTAATTTTATATTAAACTGCAACCTTTTAAAAAATTATTCAATTTTGCCGAGTATCCCGGTAAAGTCAATATTTTAATTGATTTTCATATTTAAACAAAATTTATAATTTTTGAAATTTAAAAACACTAAACCATCCCTTTTTTATCTTTTAAACAAATAAGAAACTCACTTCCTCACTTCCGCACGAGATATTAACTTCCCTTATATTATGTGGTCAACGGTAAATATTTTTATTTTAAATTGAATGCGTTATAATGCACTAAACTAATGGCTAAATATTTATGATGTATTGTAGGATTTTTTCAAAAATAATTTTTGTAAGCAATTTAATTTGTTTTTCATAATTATTAATAAATCGTTGCACGTCGCTAAAAGTCGAAATTTGTATACTCATTTCGAAAAAGTGAGTGAATTTTTACTCATTGACATCATAAAATATAAAAATAGTATTTATCGGAGGGATGCAGTGATGTAGACAGGATTTTTGCTTGAGGGTTTGGATTATATTTTTTGACTTATACTCTTACTAGTTATAAAGTACTGATAATAGTTACAACTGATAAATTCTATTAACCCATAGCATATTTGAATTGATTTATATTTTTTTTTGTATGGTTTTACGGTCTTGAACACATGACCGTTGTTGAAAATAGTCAACTTAATCATCTCATTATACAAAAGTGATTGAACGAATATTTTTCAAATTTACATAGTACTTACTATTAGACAATGAAAACGTCTGGTGAAAATTTGATGATGAAGAATAATTTTAACACCACTTATAGAATTTACAAAATTTACAATATGCGTATTATAAAAAATCCACTAACTACGTTTGATTTGTTCAATCACTTTTGTGTAATGAGATAATAAAATTGCCTATTTTCACCTATCCCATGGTGAACTTCCATGTCTGTTCAAGACCGTAAAATGATACAAAAAAAAAATATAAATCGATTCAAATATGATATGAGTTAAAAGAACATAACTAAAAGTTTCTGAAAAAAAAAAAAAATTTATTGAAAAATGTTTTGATCTCCAAATTTTGCTATTAATATACTGCAAAATTTCAATGTTAAAAAAAATTTTAAATTCATAAATTTAAGAATGAAATCGAAGTACTATTTAATATGAGTAAAACAGTGCTATTTCCACAGTGATAGCGTATTTGGGTGTGAAAGTTATATACTCTAAAACATAAGGCGTATTTTCATGTTTTTAATTATAAAAACTGCGCTATCTGGTAAAATACAATAAAAAAAAAAAATTATTTTTGTTTTCACATGGAATGACCCTTAAACAATTTTGCAACTACAAAAATTTTACCCAAATTACGTCACTGATAAAGACCACGTACCAAAAAAATTCTAGTTGAAAAAGACCAATCACTGATTGTGGTTAAGTATTATTTTCTTAACATACTCTAAAATGTTTGAAGTTAATCAAATACTAAAACATACTAACTTCATTCGGAAATTCTTCTTCTGTATATTTTACTGTGTTATATGTTACTACACGCAAATCAACTACTTTTGATTTATGACTTTGGTCAAAAATTAAAGCTGAAAAAATAATCTCTAGATAGCTTCAGAATAAAAAAAAAGTTATTCTAATTATCTAGATTAATTTTTAAGAGATAAATTAAGAAAAACAAATTTTTGATTATTACTATAATACACCTTATTTTGTTTTGGTTATATATTTTATGAATAAATCAGTTGATCTGTATACCAAAACAGTAAATACCTGTATTGTAAGACGGAGATCGAAGAGAACAGTGAATGTCTGGGAGATTTTCGTGATAAAGTTTATTCTCTTTTAAATCCCATACACATAAACTTCTAAAAAATAAAATACAAAATTAATGTAATTCTATTGAGGGAGAAAATTAATATTCTTGAAAAAAGCGTTCTCTTGTTTGTACATAGATAGCGCTAAGTATACCTAGTAATATTATTTACAATATGTGTTCATTAAAATATTGTTATTTATATTTTTAATACAAATTTTTATTTAATTAAATATAACGCTTTTAGTGAGTTAGATTGGATAAAATAGGGGAAGGAATAGATGAAAATATTATGTAATTCTAAGATCAAAAAGGAAATACATTAATTCAGGCAATTTAAACCGTTATTTATGATAGTGTAATTGATAATTACACGATTTTCTTTTAGTTTTTTAATTGCAACTCTGTTAATTAGATTGTTGATTCTTAAGAAATGTACAATATTTTTCTTACCCATCAATATGAGAAGCTACAACATAACCTTCTTCAGAATGCTTAGGTAAAGCACATAGTGATGTTTGTTGATTTGGGCATTTAAGTATGTATTCTGGCATTTTTTCAAGATCTGGCGTATTCCAAATGCAAATAATTGAGTTCCAGTTATTTGTTTTACCTTTTACCTACAAAACATATAAGATTTTATAATTTCTATTAGATAACATTACTATTGTAAAAAGTACAAAATTAGTTTTAAAGATATCGAAAAAATACTACAGAAAAAAATTTCTAAGTATATTGAACTAAATAATAATACAAATTCTTGGATTTCATTTTTTACGCTGTCATGCACTGTATTTTTTTAGTCGACATTTCGAGGTATGAAAACTAAAAATTATAGACATTATGTATATGATAGAACTTTTTGGTTTTCATGTGAAAAATATGAATTGTTATTAGAAAACTACAAGTAACTGTAATGGTTTCTAAAGAAAATTGTTAGTCAATTAATTGTTAATTAAACATCTATAAAGGGAATAATAAAATTGACAACTCTTATAACTTTTGATTTAATAATTATTTCAAAACAGTTTAAATAAATGCAAATAATAATTTTTGTATTTTCTTCAATTTGAATAATTAAATGATTCGTTGCTTCATATTTTATTTCCTTGGAGTTTTTCAATTTGTTTTACTTAAAAAAAAAAATCAATGTCAAGATACTTTTTGTGGCTTATAATATTTTTCACTTAAAGGCAAAACTTATTTTCTCAGCAACTTTAAGGGAAATATATATATTATATTTTAAGTAAAAACAAAATTAATAGCAATTAAGAATTTTTTATTCATACTTAGATAATAATAAGCCTTACCTTATGTATGGTAACTAAAGATTCGGATGATTTGAAAGATTTGATTCTGATAAACTCTATAGAAGTGACTGGTTGATCTGCTATTAGTTGAATATTTGATATAGATGGACTTATATGACCTTCACTGATTGGTATTTCATTAGGCGTCAAGTTATATTGAAGATTGTCCATGGCTCTTCTTTCAAGATAACGCAAGATGTGGTAACCTACAATACAAATTCGCTCTGCGTCTACAGTATTGGTACGTCGTGACCCAAAACTGTCACCGAGTTCATTATTACCATTTCCAACGCCAAGTTTTGCCTTAATTAAATAATTAAATTGAAACTCGTACCAGTAAAAAGTTTTTTATAAATATAAAATGAACATTTGAATCTGTTATTTCAAAAATATCACAGTCATAAAATTAAAATTTTGCAGTAACCACAAAAAACTTAATTTCTCTAGAAATTCAACTTATTTTGCACATACACCAACTGTTAAGTTATTTTTAGGATGTTCCATACTTTTAAGTAGTCAAATTTTAACAATAATTCATTAAATTAAATGAATAAATATGTTGACTTTTTTTTTTAAATATTAATTCTATAGCATAATGGCTATACAAAAAATAACATAGCAAAATATTACTCTGTAATTACACTAATATAAAAATGATTATTTTATATTGAATTTTTGAAATATTTTCTTATAAGTTTTACAAATTTAAACACCTTTGACCAATTGATTATTTAATCATAAAATATTACTTGGTAGTATTCAGCTGATGAACAATTCATTTTATTTGGTAAAACAATTGGTCGTTGTGTCCATTTTTCAATTAAAAAAATTTCGGAAGTTTGAATTTCTTTATCTACGTTGTCATCATTTGTTTGAGAGTAAACCTTATAAAAATTTAATTTGGTAATAAAATCATAATTATTATATTCAGATAAATGTAGGATATGTCAGCAATTAGCTGGATTTCAGCTTAATTGCTTTTTAAAAATTATATATATCACTGTGTTCATTAAAAGTTCCGATTTATGTGTAACAAAAAATATCGGGCATATTCCCCGCGCTATTTCACCATTGATCAAAAACAATGGTATTAAAAAACGTTTTCTAACAACATTTTTTGATTAACAAGAGATAGATTTCTTGTCAAACCATCTTTGTGGTTTCATATCACATACTTTTCATAATCGTTTAAAATTTAATAATAATATCACAAGCTTTATGTTCAATAGCGGCTTTTTTTCGATACATTATACCTAAAGATTAATAAAGTTTTTATGAAAGATGCGCCATTTTTTTAGTGGTTTTCACTATCACAGAATCCAATGTAATTGATTCTATGTCGTACAATAATTCATTGAAACTGTTTAATTATATCAGTCAAAATTTAACTTGGAAACAATTTAGATGATTTTATTTCATTCACAAAAGTTTTAGGTTTTTAAATGCAATATAACAATAAATTAAAATATTAACTTTTAAAAGACTCCATAATATTAATATCTCAATACCTATTTCATAATACATTAAAAATTAGGGTTCGTCAACAATATCGATATCGAATATACGATACAGATTATTTTCAAAAAAATATTTTTAAAATTAAACTGTTTGATTTTTGGTCACTTTGTTATAAAATATATATTATTTTATAATAGGCTAAAAACATAATCTTGTTGACATTTTTCCTACTAAAATATATCATAAAATATAGAATTAAGTTAAGAAGAATAATTACTGTTATTGACCCAAAATTCTATTCTTGGATTAGGTTTTTTATCATTATAACATAATAATTATTCCTATAAAAAAAAAAAACACGAACAAAGTAAGGTATTACAAGATATAGAGAGAAATTTCAGGATTAAAAGATATGCAGCAAAAACTGGTTTAAACTCAATCTGAAAAATGAGATGAAATTATTGAGCTCAAAGAAAATAAAATCGAATTGCTATTAAATGATTGTGATGAAGAAGACAATATTTTATTTAATATTTTATTCTATAAAAGTTTAAATTGTATTTTTAGTAAGAGGTAAAATTGTAACATTTTATTTGATTTGGTTGATATACTATATTCTGTTTTTTACAACAATGGTAACTTGACGATATTCTTGAAAAAAAAAAATTAGATAAAAACATATAAATATTAAATTAAATTTTTTGATTTAATTAAATTTTGAAAATAAAATTTTTTTTCGATATTTATTTTTTCATATGATAACGATATATCGCGATATTGAGACTAATTTTTTTTTTTTTTTTGATATAATATCGTTGAAATTCGGTAGGATATCGATATTCAAAAATATATCGTCGACGAACCCTATTAAAAATAAAATCTATCTATTGTTATTATGATAAGAAAATTATATAGGTTAGGTTATATCAATATAAATCTAAGCAATGCTTAGTCATGTTTTGCATTTATTTGTTTAATTGATTGAAGAAAATATATGTTTTTTTACTTGTGATGTATTCGATCTCCCATAAATTTGCATATATTGTTTATAAGGTATTGCTGGCAGTTCAAACAATGAATAACTGACTGTATCTAGTTTAATCATATCCATTAAAATGTCTCCCCGGGTTTTTATTTTATTTTTGGCCTATTAAAATTGTTTAAGTTTAATGATTTTGCTAAAGTATTATTTTGAATATAATTTAGTCGGTACCTCTATTTCAAGTTGTCTAATTTTAGCTGTTTTAAAATTACTTAAACCTTTTTCAATATTGAGTTCTAACTGATTAATTTCAAATATTTCGTCCAAAAATGGTTCGACTTTTTCTTCGACACAAATTTGTAATGAAAATTTAGTCTCAGTGTCATTTGCAACATTTGTACTTGTTGTATCATGTGATTTAATGGAAACACTGACAGAATTGTCTGATTCAAAGTCTGACTCATAATCCTTAAATGTATACAATTTAATACTTAAATGATCACAAGGAAATAATAATATAAGTTGTACCTCAAAGTCATCTTCGTAATCTTCGTTCTCAGAATTTTTTGATGAACTATCAACAGATTTATTCTCTAAGTTCAAATTCATGGATTCTTTCGTTATAAAACGAATTAGTTTTTCATCAACTTTATTATTCTTTCGCAATTTGTTTGTTGAAAGACGAGATTGGCCATTATATGGATTTTCTACAATAAATTAAAAATTAAAATACAAGTATATTAAAATGACTTTTTATTTATACATTTTTTAATTTTATTTAAATAGAAATTTAATAAAATATTTATATAATTGTTAAAAATTTAAAAACATCATTCTCGTAAAAAATATCACTATAAAAGTTTTTAATTATGGAAAATGTCTTTAATTTTTAAACATTTAAAATTTTTGTAAAAAAATTAAATTATTTAATTTAAAAAACTACAATAATGTGTAGTTAAATAATTTTATTTTCACCCCTTCAGCATCAATAAATCCAAATTTTAATTTTATTTAATGAAACCCCTTTTTAATTAAATTATATAATAAAAAAATATTTCAAACATTTTTGTTCTTAGATTTTTTTATTTGATTAACTATTCTTCTATTATTGCTCGTTAAAATTTAACAACTTTCAACCAATGTATTATATATTTATTTAACCCTATAGATAATTTTCTGTTTAATATACAGTAGTCTTTATTTCTTTATGATGTGACATAAACAAGTAAAATTGACAATCTTTGTTATCATATCTGTTACTTGCCACAGTAAGAATAAATACTGATTATAATTTATAGCTCATTCAAACAGATGGTATTATAAAAACCAAAAGAATGATGAATTTCTGTTTTAAATCCAAATCTTTAATGAAATCGGTCTATCAGATAAATAAAATTATAAGAACAAATTTTTAAACTAAAATTAGAGGCTGTTATTGAAGAAAATTAAATTTTAGTGTTTATTTCTCTGGGGGAATAGAAAAAAATATTGAACAACAAATTATTGTAGGATTTTTTGGATCAAATCACATTTTCCTTAAAAAAATTGAAAATATTCAATATTTTCTGAGAAAATGAGTCTTATCCTTAATTGATTATTCTGTATATGATACTTACATGCAAATATAAACTTTTAGCAATGCAATTGCATAGGATTTAAATGTTTAATATAATTTTTTTTCCTGAAGTAAAGTATTCAAAATTGTATTTTATAATAAGTAAGGTTCAAAACTAATAAATTTATAAAATTTGTTTGGATGACTTTCAAGACATCGAGTTTTGTAAAAATGTAACATACGTATGTATAGTACCATAAGAAAATGTTTTCTTCTAAGAAAAGTGATCTCCTTCCACATCCCACAATACTCATAACTAAATCAAGTTTTTTTGTATGCTGTATAAGCATGTCTGAATTTGTAAATTGGTATATATACGTGCGATTTTTTAACTATGACTCAAACAATATCGTTAAAAATATAAAATATAACATGGTTTTTTCTATTCGAAAGTTAATAAATGGAAGTAACCTATGTTCTATATTTCAAAAAAATCCGACACAGTGGAATAGTAGCATAGTGGGAACAAGGATAAATAATATTTTACTGTGATTAATATTACTATTATAAAAGTTATCATATAGTAAAGTATTTTTGAGATATTTTTCTATGTTTCTAAAATTGAGAGAGCTTTTTTCAAAAATTGGTATCGAAATGGTCAACTAGATTCAATTCAGATTCTTTTGACATATTGATCATTAAAATCGGTCCTGTAAGAACTGAAAATGTTTATGGACAGACATAAAAATAACACACACCATCACAAAAGCAATATCTTCTCAGATATTAATCAGATAATAATAATCTTCTAAAAACATATATCTATTTCACTTAATTTCCCCTTAAAATAGTATCAATTAAATGTTTTTTAATGAAACATAAATGTTTAACTGGCTTAAAAATAAGATATAGAATTGTTGATAACATTTTTTGGGTCAGTACTTTGGATGTTATTATCTTTTTTTATATATATATATAGACTGTAGGTGTAGCACGAGTCATTGACAGTATTTTAAAGGATTGAGAGAGAGGATATAACCAATTTTCTTTTTAATTTTAGAAAAAAGGATACTATTAACTTTTAAAAAAAATATAATATATTTTGTAATATTAAAGATAATGCATAAGTTATATGTGAACAAGCACTCTGTACATTGAAGTCTAAAGCTTAAAGTTTAATAAATAAAGTTTATAGTAAAATATGTTACAAAAATATAATTTTTTTTAATACTTATTAAACGAATGGCATAACTGACTTTTTTTGCCTGGCAACACTGTAGTAACATTATTGTTAGTAGAATTATTTGTTTTCTTAACGGTTGATGGCGTAGCAACATTTTTTGAATTTTTTTCCGTAGAGAGCACTGCAGACTTTGGTTTGATTGATGAATTTTTTTTTGGTATAACTGGATAAGCCTGCATAATATAAAACAATTAAATCAAATTAAAAAAATCATTACTAATGCATTTAAATTTCACCATGACAAATCCATTGATATTTTCGACAGTTCTTCTAGCCATAGTAAAATTTTAAGAAAACTCGAAAAAAGGTAGAATTACTCATAACGATTTTTCACCAACTATCAAAATCAGCTGTTTTATTTTTGTTGGTACAAATTTTTATCATAGCAACTAGTTTGTTGTAGTTACTACGGTTTGTTTATACTTAAGTAAAAAATCGATTATGGGAATCATTAAACAACTTTTAATAACAAAATTATATCATTTATATGTATTAGCCTTTTTTTGAAATAATACGAAAAATATTTTAAAATTATAACCAGAGCAGGATAACTATAAAAAGGGGTACCTACGGAAATCGGGTTCGGCAGGATGTGGCTCGCATGGCAGATATGTTAGGTCGATAAAAATACACTGATAAATACAATCATAGACTATGACCAGGGTCTGACGGTCGCTCAGGTGTGAATCCTGCTTTGAATGTGTATATGTTGGTAACAATTATGTATCATACACTTTGTTCAATATACACGTTTTTTTTTGTCTGTGGGTATGCGCATTATCTATTGTGAAGCATATTGTTAAATATACACTGGGACACAAAGTTTTTACATACGGGGTGCAAAATTATCCGGTTTATCTCCAAATGGTTTCAGATCACTGCGTGGTTCGTTTCAAATTAACTATAATTACCTTGCTAGTCATATTTGACCGGATATAAAATAAAAAATGTATAAAACAAATAATAGGTCTTTACAAAACTTTGTAAATCCGGAAGTAATAAAAACACATCAAAGGGAGTATAACACTGTTAAGTGGATACTACTAAATTTGAAAACCCGTTTAAATCATAATTTGGTTGAAAATGTAAGTTATTTTATAGTTGATTATTATATTCCTGCTTATAGTATATACGCAATTAATTCAATGATTTTGGTAAAATTTTTAAACAATATCATATTTAAAATGTATTATTTTTAAACAACTGTAATCTTCTATCACAAAATATTTTTTTTGCACATTTCTTAATTGTTTCTTTGCTTTTGATGCGGTTTATTCTTATTAATCTTTTATATCAATCAACAAATGTTTTCGATATTTTTTGGTCTTCGAAGTTACTTTGACGACTCTCATATATATATATATTTCTACTCGGCGCTTTAATTAATAATATTCAAAACTGCTCAGAGTAATTTATTTTTAAATTTTCAATATTTCAATGTTTCACTGATAAATCCCAAACAAAACATTTTGTTTCACTTTCTGTAATGATAGGGAAGAGCATGCCCTACCCTACTCGATTAACAGACCGGAAGTACGGTTAGGGCCGTCGAATAATTTCCTATCCACTGTTGTGTGCTCTGTTTATAGGCTTGGCCAGTAAATAGAATAACAAATCACATTAGGATAATTACTGTTAAATGCCAAACGTAATTTCCTAAGTTTAGATTGAAAAGTATTACTTTACTTACTATCATAACATTTCAAACCGACGTTTGATGACCTTTTAAACTGAACCATTACATATATGACTACATTACATTTAAAAAGTAATGTTTTATCTCTAAATATAATAAACTTAAATTAATTTCATATGACATTTATCAACGAGAATTAATAATTATAGTAATAGTTTAGTTATGATAGTTTTTACATTTTAAACTAAAATAACATTTTATTAAAACATAGTTCAATATTTATTTAAAAATATATTGTTAACAAAAATTAAAGAGTATTATAAAGAGTATTTGAATAGTTATAATAAGTATATTGTTCCTAACATATTCGATGTATATTCAAATAGAGTACATATAAAATGTAATTTACAAATGTGAAATACATTATACAAAAAAAAATATGTTCACACAGATTTCCCTTTTTAAATGAAAAAATGAACATAGTTTATTTGAATTTACTTTAGACGTCAATGAAATTGAAAATTATAAATTGTTGCAATTGATTTTCAGAATTACATTAGCTATAAAGTGAAATTGAAAGCTTTTTTTAACACAACTGATAATCACAGAACACTCACATAAGAGCGTGGGATACATATAGGGGGTTATCATGTTCCAACATCCCCCTAGAGCTAAACAGTTTTTTATTAGTTATTTTTAATATTCCATTAGTGATAGTTACACTCTTAAATTTATATATTCAAATATGATAATTTAATATTATTAAGTGTTATTATATAATAAATATTTACTACTAAATAATTTGTTAATTATGAATTGTGTATAAATAATATTTATTTATAAATATTAGGGTCAAGTGGGGTAAATGGAAATTGGGGCAAAAGGAAAAAAATATTATTTAAAATAAATTATTAGTGATTATAGAATTCGGTATCATTATAACCACAGTACACTTAAGGTATAATAGTGTGCAATGATAAAAATATGGAAAATTTGAGGATATGTATAAATTGTTATCACTCGAAAAAGTGTTTATGATTATTTTAAATTATATTTTCAACGGCTTTTAAGAAGGGCATCTTCATCAAAAATATAAGTAGAACAGTACAGTTTGAACTAAATTGTCATTTCATATTTACTTATTTACTATACGGCCCTAAAACTAGTTTAATATTACTTTTTCTATGGAATTATATTTTTTTTGTAAAATACAAAATAAAAATCAATTGGGGTAATTGGAAATTTGGTTTTGGGGTAAATGGAAATATTAATAACAAATATAATTTGAAATATTACGATCTTTATCATTTTTTTTTCAACTTCAGAGTGCGTAATTATATCAAAAAAACATATTAACAGTTTTAGAAAATCAAATTTCATTAGAACCTTCAACGTCAAACACTTTTATAGACTAAATTTTCCCAACATCAAGTAATAATATCTCAGTAAGTCCAAAAGATATAATATCTATTTTTTCAATTCAATTAATACAATATAAAACTAACAATACAATTTGTGTTACAAAAGACCGAGTTCCTCGTCTTAGAGTAACAAAGTATGGTGAAGTTTTAACAAATAAAAATGTGCTAAAATAATTGAAGGAAGCAACCTCAAAGAAAAAGCTAATCAAATATCCTAGTAAACTTGGGAGACCTAAGAAAGCTATTAAAGATGTACAAAATATTGTGTTGGAACAATCAATTGATAATATTGATGATGTAGTTTATCATTCATCAGAAGATGATTGTAATGACAATTCATTAGATTTAAGTATTGAAGAAGTTTTATACAATACACCAATTTGGTCTCAAATAAAACCTGAAGTATTTCTTTTAAGAGATTTTATTGAAGGGATCCGTAAAAAACAAAATTTTAAGTATGTATGTTTAATTAAACGTGTAGATGAAGATGATGGGGATATTTTAGTCCGAGGATTAAAAAAAAAAATAATGAAATTGGAACTGATTTTTATATTGTTGAAAATGACTTGTCAGATATTACAGTAGAGATGATTCTTGCAATATTACCAATACCAACTGATCATAAGAAGAACAGAAATACGATATACACATTTCCTGGATATATAAATGTCGATGAAAAATAATCAGTTTAGGCACTACGTTACCTACTTATTCATACATTAATTTATGTGATATATTTTAAAACTAAAAATGCTGTTAGTTTGTTATTTTGTTTATAATTTTTACTTTACATTGTTATTTTTTATGTTAAATTATTATTATCACTATTATATGAAAATAAAAGACTGTTAATATATTTTGAAAGTTTATGAAATAGTAAGTATGCATTAAACTGTACTAAATTATGTTAAAATAATAAAGATTACCTAATTATTTGACTAATTTAATTGAAATTTATGTAATTCAAAAAAATTTTCATTTGCCCCAGGCTTATAACATTATAAACTATACTTTAATTTTCATTTAACCCATACACAATATACTATTTGGGACAAATGGAAATTTGTAGGTATCGAATACATGAAATAATATAATGATAGCTGTAACAGAACAATTTCATTTGCCCATTATGTTTGTTCAATATAACACTTGTTGTTGGAAATAGTTATTTTCATTTACCCCAGAAGTATGGGGCAAATGTAAATTTTTTATGCAATTTTATATTATTTTTTTCTCTTAAAATAATCAATTATTTTAACGTTTGATTGAAATGTTAGACACATATTGTATATAGTTAAATAGTTTTTATCTAAACCAAAATTAAAAAAAATTATTACTACATGAATCTAATAAAAGTTGTAAAACATGTAAATTTCATTTCCATTTACCCCACTTGACCCTACCTATTTATAACATTTAATGTATACACAAAAATGAAATATAATTTATCAACATCGAAAAAATAGAACGATTGCTGTGTATACACATTATTTTCTGTAACAAGAATATGCTTGAGAATATTCTTTTGCAGATTATTACAGGAGAATATATTCTAAAAAAAAAAAAAAATAGAACTTCATAATTTTTTAAGAATATTTAATCGAACTTGAAAATTATTTGAAGTAATAATTATATGTTGAATATTTATGATGGAAAAAACTTTTACTTGGTTGATAGTTGCATAATATCAAAAATCTTCAAAAAAAATTTTTATTGAAAAATTATTGTATAGCTTCTTAATGTTATTTCATTTCAATATCTTCTCTATTTTATTTTTACATTTCTATTTCTTTTCAATTTTTAAATTTCTATGCATTCAATATTTCATAAACTTTATGAAAAAGATTAAATTAAAATTAATATTTTATAGTAAAATTGAGGGAGTGTTTTGTGTGGATAACTTTTTAAAACCACCCAGATCATATTTGAACGCCACTGCATAAGAGTATTTATTATTTAACTTTAAGTCTGAAAAACAATACTGGTTCTTCATCCAGATAGTTTTTATTAGACCATGACTATTAAGAATATTTATTGTATTTTGCAAATTACGACGGTTATTTTAGAATTTATTACGAAAGAAAGGAAATCTCATACATGATGAATACATTTCATATAGAAGTGTGTTGATATCACAAACTACTATTTAAATCATAATTTAAATTGAATTGTTTGTAAACGCAGCATAAGATTTAAAAAAAAATTATAATAATGATTTTTTTATTTCTGTCCATAATGGTCAAATTATAACCGAAATGAAACTAAATATTTTTTTTTCATTCAGTTATTCAGATATGAATCATTTCATTGACATTTATAGAAAATTGATGTTTTTTTTATTTTATAGAAATCCGTTGAAAAGTATCTAATTTACTATTATCAACATTGATAGACTTAAACATATTTGTTGTTTAGTAGCTGACACACAAAAATTCAAAACGAATGCTCAGTCGTTGTCGAATCTTTTGTAAAAGAGCACTTAGAGTAAATTAATGAATACACTAACTTTGATCGAATAGATCACCTAAATGACATTATCCTTAGATAAATTTTTTCATGAACGCTATAAACATTTTTGTGAATGTAAGGTATATATATATATTTATAGTCAACGATTAATTTCTGTTGAATAATAATAAACGTAAAGAAATTTTACTTTAAAATATAGATTAACTTAGACAAATTTTGGTTACATATTGACCTTTATTTTTATTTTATTAATATTTTTTAATCATATGTTACGTATACAAATAATTCGGTTCAGTCTCTGATTTAAATAGTAGTCTGGTGATATCTACTATATTTAATCATCTTATGTGAGGTTTCCTTTCCTTTATATCGTGTTCTCAAATAGCCGTCGTGATCTCAAGATGTAATAAGTATTCTGAATGGTTATGGTCTAATAGATTCTATTTGGATAAAGAAGCCAAGTATTAATGACAGTACAAGATATACCACGCTGTTGTTGCGTAATCAGTATACTTAAAACATTTCATTTTCATTTTTCCTATTTGTCAATTTATAGTAGAAATGCCATTTTAAAGGAAAACAAAGTTTCAATATTGAAAAGCATAAAAACT